TGAACTCTGATTAGCAAAAATGTGATTTTACCATGCCTGTTCAGTTTTTTCTATTAAGTTAATCCAAAGGCTTCTTGAATAAATTTAAGCAAAGTATACCTTATTATAAATATTCACAATTAAAAATGTCTTTTTGCTTTCCTTTTGATGGACTACTATTATGTAAATATGAGAGTAAAACTGATTTCAGGCATTTTGGAATATTCCAGTGACACACTGCATTTTACAAGTACTGAAATATTTGTATACGGTAGGAAAAAATGTGCTTAAAACTCAGAGAATTATTTTAAGAGTTCTTTTTTCTGAAGGGGAAAAAAATAAATGGAAGCAGCATGGTGGTAATTCCCTCATTGTGACTTACCCTTGGCAACACCTTGCGGCAACTGTGTTCTCCAAAACGAAGGGTGCTTAATTCTTCACTTTCTTCTGTATTCTGCAGGTCCCATAACAACAAACTGCAGTCTACAGCTTCTTAGAGTTCAGCGTGTTAACCTAACACACGAGCAAGAATCTGGTTGTCTGAAAATTTTTAATTAAGAAGCCAGATGTTTTTAGTCAGGTTATCCTGACGAGACTTGATGTAAACTGCGTTTTTATTGGTCACAACAGTCAAATTATATTCTTGGCTTATTTTGTCCAAAGGACAAAGAAATAAAAATCAGCAGCACCACTTTCTTGTCAAGATCAAATTGTTGTACTATTGTGGCAGAAGCAGGAAAACTTTGTTTTGTTGAAGGAGAGAGAGAAAGAGAGCAAGAAAAAAGATACAGTAAATGGGGTCACGTTTAACTCCATGGAAATGCCACGTCTGTTCTTCAGTGAAGAAGCTGGTTTAAAGTCCACACAGAAAACTTTGACTGTATTTATTTATTGTTGCAAAAAAGACGCTTTTTTATTGCTGCCCTCATTTGTCAGCTAATTATTTTTTCTTATAAAATCCAGCCCCGGTTACATGTAATCCATTCTGTATCTTAACATGATTCCTGTAGGTAAGAGTACAAGAAGACCTCTAGATGTCTTTTCTTTCTATGAAAGGAGCTGCTATGTACACATGTGCACACACACAGAACTGGGAATCAACAATGAGTTTATCATTCATGGTAGATAAAAACAATTAAGCTTGCATAAAAGTTGGGCTAAGTGGTCATGGACTACAGACTCTGTTGCCTTGAATATAACAGTACAATTTGTCATTTACTCTGCACCAGACTGAAATGAGTAAAATCTATTTGAAGGTATCTTGTTTGTAAACATTTGTCAGATTCTAATTTTTTTCTTTTGTATTAAAATTCAAAATATGGATGTATATGAAACAAAATAAATGGAGATAATTGTTCTCCCCACAGATGTAGGTGTCTTTGAGTGTGCGCTAATATGTTTGTAACACTTTGGGGATCTGTTCGGATATTTCCAGTATTAGGGGAGGGAAGTGGCCAGGGAGATCTGACTTTATTTTGCTCCAAAGGTAGCGTTCGCCACGTTTCGTTCTTAAGCAGCTGTTGTCCCTTTATAAAATTTCTACAGTGGTGCCAGAAGTACTGTAACAGATAAGATGGTAGGAAGTTTTGTGAAATGTCACTGCCCACCGCTGAATTAAGCGATATTTCGCCAAGCACCCTAGGAATGTAAAGTACCAAGTGCAATCACATCTTTGAAAGGCGTTCCGGACTGCTTCACTGCTTCCTGTACGAGGAGTGCTACTGTGAGGGATCAGCTGGAGTCACAAGAAGATGCAGATTGCAGATGGCGTTGCCGTTTCTTTCCGATCTATCGCTTTCACATTGCGCGTACAGATGACTTGCTGGCGTTACCTGTCTATAGTTCATCAGCCGCGGCTTGTATGCGGCTCTTCAACCATTTGACTAGCTTTTGCACTAATTCACAGTTAACTTCTGTTGTACAGTGATCTGGGATTTGCCTGATTTATGGATAAGCTCCTTTTGGGTTTAACCTCACACCTTGCTATGCAAGAACCTCTTCTGTTATTTTTCTTAAAAAGATGTTGCTACTGACCACACTTTCTTACACTTACAGGCTCAGGTGTACAGGTTCTTCTGGGATAATTTTATCTAATAAAAACCCGTGGTTTTTTGTACATACAAATGTTGTCATTTAACCTATATGTGAAAATTAAAAATAATTGTTCAATGTGAAAAAAATAATCCATTTATGCTTCTTAAAAGTTAAAGAAGAGTAGTTGCATTTAGGTTATGTTGTCCTTTTGACGTTTAAAAAAATGCTGCATATTGTACGCATTGTGTTTTTAATGCAAAAAGGAAACATCTCAACTTTTAACAGCATTTGAACATACCCTGCATCTCATCGACACTTCACAGTATTTCTGTACTATATATTCCTATATAAATATATATATGACATCATTTAAAACTTTCCTACCTGTAGGCAATAGATTGCTATGTTTTTAACAAATTGTGGCAAACTGAAGAGTACTTTTTTGTACCTTATAGGACGCATCATCCTAGACAAATAAAGTAATGTGTTTGACATTGATTTGGTGGCGTTTCTAATGAAACAATTGATAATGTTACCGTGTGTAGGTCTTGGCTTTGCCAGATTATATATAATTGCCAGTGAATCAGGTTGATTAGGGAAATAATCCATACATGCAATTTAATCTTGCTGAGAGCCTTTTTTAGTGTTTTCAATTGTCGTTGAGTAGGTTGAGGTTCTCTCGATTTATTTGTGGTGATCTTTTATAGTCAAATGGTGTTACTCAAAATACACCACTCGTAATTCATACCCACCTTCCTTAAAAGCAGGGTAAGTTCCTAAGATTTGTGAACTCTGTTCAGTCCTCCTCCTCTCTGTATTTTTATAAATTATTGCAATGTGTGTTTCAAAATGGTCCTATGTTGTAACGCGGATTTTGATAATGTGAGCTATACCTGCCTGATTTTTCTTTTTGTCTCCTCCAACAAATTTGAAGCAATTGTCCTTGGTCTAGATTTAGTTCATACGGAAGTTAACGGGGATTTAAAGTAGAATAAAAAGTTGGGCTTACCCAAAAGCCTTGGGTAAACCCCTGGAAAGACAAAGACGACGACATTCCTGTACACCTGGATTTCTGTGTATTGGCTGCAGAATTTTCGTGCTTATCCTGCTGGGGAAAAAAATGATGAACTGTAAGGTATCAAAATTACCGTGGCAGCTATTGCATGTAAGTGCTGTCGTCTTTTCAGTGTGGTTCATGCTGTGAGGTTTTTGTAACAGTGAGTGCAAGACTGCGGAAATCCTCTTGATCGAGGAATTATTTTTTTCTTCAGTACGTTAGTTAGCATGTGATGAGCCCGGTAAAAAGAACAGTAGTTACGCTCCTGCTCCAGCTGTGTTTCGGTTGGGCTGTGAAATACAGTGGCTTGTTGCTCAGCTGTTGCGGTAATGTTTTCAGGCGTGACCTTCCACTCAAGAAAGGAAAGGTAAGATGGCTTTGTAACGCAAGAAGAGAACATAGAATAAATTGCTCTTCAGGCTTGCTTCTAGAGCAATAGCTGTATCTGAGAGTGTGGTGCAAACGTCGTGTGTCAGTCATTGGCATTTTACTCAGGCTTTGGATGTCATTAGCGCTGGTATACTATTATTTATCTCTTCCGAGAGACAATCGAAATGAGATACAACCATGGATGTTATTTTTGTACCCACGCTTCGCCTGTTTTAGATTACGATAATGTCTCGGGGGTGGTGGCGGGGGGTGCTTAATTGCTGTTCTGGGCAAATGGCTGACTGTAGGACTTGCTGGTTAGTCCCTGGACTTCAGTTGAAAATAGAAACAAAGAAACTCGAGATGCACATGTAACCCTTCCTCCTTCCTTCTCCTGTCCCTCCCAGTCCACTCCAGTGCTTTGATTCATTGCCAGGAACAGTCGTTCTGCCAAATCAAAAGCCCCTTAAGTGTCTCAGGAAAATTCCATCCATAAATGCTGCGCCCCATGCAAAATCTTTCACGTAACAAAAGTGAGACGGTGTACTTTTTTAGACACAAGCTACGAGTAAATTTCTGTCCTATAGTAACAGCCTTCTGGGTCCCAAAACATACGATGTTTGCTCTTGGTATTTGGCTCCTATTTCATATCAAGAAATACTTCATACAGTGTGACTTACCGCCCATCCACTATTCCATAGCTCTTCGGTGACGCCAAATCAAGCTGCAGACGTGTATGACAGGTAGAATTGTGTTAGAACTACCTGTGTTTCAAAACAGAAAACGCTTGTAGAAGCCACTGCTTCCTGTTCCCAGTCACATCATATATATCACTGTATATATATTTATTTTAAGCTAGACTGCGTTTTCCCTTTTTTTTAATATAAATATGTATCTTAAAACAGCCAGCCGACTTGTCAAACGAGGAGATGCCATTGTTTAATACCATTACATGATCTTTTTGGATCTTTCAGAACCCAGAACCCCATGAACATTCTATTAGTTAAAGACTTACGACCTGTGAATACTGACTCTTGGAATAGCCAACATTAAGATCCCCTTTGCAGAGGTTTCATAGGTTCTTACATCCCACCACATTAAAGGTACTAAAAGATTGTATCTTTGATTGAAAAAGTAAATTTAGTGATGTGCAAGTACAAACTTGGTAATATTTCTCATGGGAAAATGACATTCAGTACCCAGTTCTAGGACTGAACTTTTAAGAAAGGGACAGTGTAACCAGGCGTACGAAATGTGTGTGCAATTGCATGCTTATTTTGCGTTCCTTGGCATAAACTTGTGCCGCTATTTGTAAGCCTAATTGGGCATTTGTGTTGTGCAGTTGCTTGATTTGCTTTCAGTTCGTGTATTCAGATACTCAAATAATTACGCAGCTATTTTGTATGCTTCCTGTGAAAATCCAGCTCTGTTTGAAGAATGATGTAATTTTAGCATGGACACGTCTGAGGATACCAAAACACCCAGCTCTGTTTGAAGAATGATGTAATTTTTAAAAGTAGCATGGACATGTCTGAGGATACCAAAACAACACCAATGACACTTAAGTTTTGTCGGTTTCTTTTGAATCAAATGCACGTGATACTTCAGGCAGAACTGTGTGAAACACAATGGACATCCTCTATAGATAAAGCTACGGTATCATCTAACGTTTGTTCAGGGTTAAGGGTTTGAAAGTGCAGTTACTTCTTGCGTGCCTAGAACAATGCCTCCAGAGTTTTACTTTACAATTACTACAGATTATTATGGGTACATTACAGCAGGGGAGGCGATAATAACCTGTGGCTCTGAAAACAGCTGGAGCAAATTCCTGACCAGTTACCGTCCCCTAGACTGACTTCTGTGCTGAGCTTCACAATATATAGGTACCTAGGCAAAACATTCAGTTAGTGTTTGCTAAAGCACCAAAGCAAGTGTCCTATCACAACCAGTTTCAGAGGTAAAGGAGAACTACCTCCCACTGTTGCTAAACCATGGCCAGGTTTATTCTGGTAGGTGAATTCTGCTGCTGCCCGTGTCCTAAACGGAGGTTACTGGAGCCTTATCTACATTTAGAGTGAGCCACCTGCACTTTGCGATTCCTCTTCCTGTTGAACCTCTTCACGTAGCTGCTGCTGCTTCTAAGCAAGCCATCCCCTGGCCTCAGGCGCCCTCGCAGGAACTGCAGCAGGTTTGCAGGGATCTGCCGTCTCTTGTGGTAGATCCGACCCATCACAATGTATCTACTGCCTGCAAAATAAACGAGACTCCTGTGCTATGAAGAAAGCACGGATTTGTTCACTACACCCGCCCTAAAGCCAACAGGTTTACGAACAGATGTGAAGTTGTACCCTGCAGAAATATATCCCGAACGTGTGGCTTAGTACAGCGGCACCCTGAACTTCAGTGGGCCTTGTGGGTTGTGCTTGCATGGAAGTAATGATTTACTGTCTTGTATTGCAATTAGAAGCTTTTGGGGGGAAATACTGATATTTGACAAACTTGCATTTAGAAGGAAAACCGGACTACTTACAGGGACATCAACTTAAGCTCCTGCTTAAATTTTTTTGGCAATCCTGAACACTCTTGCAATCATTTTGGAACTGGATAAAGTTAAGAAAGGACTATGCTGCTACCTGACTTCTTCACACAGTTGGTTCTCTTCTGAAAATTTAGAGAAACCAGGAGGGGAAAAGCCCTCCAGTTTAACAGTAAATACTTTTTTTTTCCCCAAAATATCACAACAAGCCAGGATAAGCCTATTAAACTAGGGCAGACTAAAATTGCACTGCATGCAGGAGGAATAGTGGACTGGATTTAGCTGGAATTATTTACCAAGTTTAAAGTCTGGACACGGTTTACTGCAGTTTAAAGTATCCACAACTAGAATGTGAACTCGAAAGAAGAAGCCATCAGGAGTAATATACAAGCGACTCATCTTGTACAATCCATCGCCGTTTACCAAAAGCGTAATCAAGTGGACGCCGTTCCCCAGTCTTTCCACGTTATAAACAATTCCGTTCACTGCTGTTTTAAGGGAGGGGGGGGAAAAAGCAAACATCAGATTACATATCTTGGTGGCAACTCAGGGTGTATGTGAAGGCTCTCATTTAAAATGCTGTAAAGCGTCAGCAGAAGTTCTTTGGCTCGGTAGTGGGCACTCTTGAAAGCAGGAGTCGCTTCAAATAATCACATTTGATGAGGTCATCACCTTAGTTTTTGCTCAGTTACTAACCTTATGCTTTACAGGTCTGAGGTGTTTCTTAGCGAAGCTTATAAAATGTTTCAAAAGAAAGTGATGTTTTAGTACTGTTTTCCATCCTGATATATGAAAAGGGGACATATTTACCTAACAAAGTAAAATGTTCACATTTAAAACTTCGCAGTGAAGTCCAAAGCTAACCCGCTAATAAAGCGCTTCAGCTTTTGAAAGGAAAGGCCCGTGTCATACCAAGAGGCGAGGGCACCAAGTAGGCCATGTCGTATGCTCAATCACCTCATGCTGTCCACCCAGTTTCTGGTTTTGACAAGTGCTGAGCTGACTACAGGAATCGGGAAACAACCACCGTGTTAGGCAGGTAAGGCAAACAGGACTTCTACAGCCGGCGTTACTCCTGCCTCTCTGAGTGAGAACTTCAGTCATTTAATCTTTAATCTGCACTGTAAACGTAAAGAAATGAAAAGCTCTCTCTGATCACGGCAGTGGAACCTTGGCTGACGTGTTGCTCAGGCTGTCTTTTTCCTACCTCTTTTTCAATTTAAGAGATGAATGGGACCGGTATTTGTTAAAGGCTGAACTACACAAAGGTCGGGTCGCTACAAGGCCTGCGTTTGACAGGAATGCGTGAGAGTGGTAAAAAATAAAGAATATAGCATTTGTAGAAAGCACTTCCTGACTTCTCCATTTAGAGAAAACAGATGTCTCCTAACGTGTTTATATTCTTCAAATGGAAACATCTGTTACCACTAGGCATGTATTTTGCTTATCTCTTAAAATACTGTGAGAAAAAGTTGGTATCTATTTCACAACTTCGTAAGCGCAAGGCAAGATTTCAGTCAGAAAATGCTTGCTCTTAAACAATCAGTACAAAAATGCCAGGCTATTTTCTGCCGTCTTTAGCTACATCAACTTGGACACAAGGACTAAAGACATTGAGTCCCTAAGGAAGTTCAAAGAGAATCCTCTATACAGAGAGGATCAGTTTTATTTTTGTTTGGTTCTCCATTTTATTTTCATTTGAAACTAGCCCCCCAAATCACAAACTCGCTCTAAATAGTAAGAGGTAAGTAACAACTTGGACACAAGGACTAAAGACATTGAGTCCCTAAGGAAGTTCAAAGAGAATCCTCTATACAGAGAGGATCAGTTTTATTTTTGTTTGGTTCTCCATTTTATTTTCATTTGAAACTAGCCCCCCCAAATCACAAACTCGCTCTAAGTAACACACCTACAATGTTTAATCTTAGTGTATCTAAAACAATTGGTCTTGTCAGTTCCGTTGACCAGCAGTAAGAACGTTGTCTTTGTCAATGTGAAAGTGAAAAGTAGAAAAAACAGAAAAAAACAATATTAGCCCAAGGTAGGGAAAGGGTAACAAGACTTGGTACCATTTGTCGTAGTACATTTATAAAGAGCTGTGCCGAGTCCTTTTAGTGTACTTAGTAATTATTTAACATACTCAGTGAAACAGTATCTTAAGAGCAGAAGCAAAAAGTCAGTAATAGATGAACAAAGAAGGCACCTGCTTTGTCTGTGTGGTTCATGGAGGACACAACTTACCGAATTCACTCGCGCAGTAGGCCTCCACTTCGTCTCTCTCTTTCCTGCACTCGGTCAGACATGCGCCATCTAGAAGAGGCACGCAGACTGAGGGACAGCAACAGGCCCTTTTGGGATATTTCACCCAAATTATGCCACCCAACCTTTGGAAAGCTCAGGATATCCCTTGCCAGAGCAGTCTAGCCCCTTACCTTTCTTCGGCACGCTGAAGTCGTATGGCAAGCTGGATGTCTGGCGGTTGGTGACCCAGGAGGGTTTGGTGATCTTTTTCAAGGGATCAGTACGTTTATAGGGGATTATCTTGCCTGGTCGGTTGAAGTGATCCAGCGCGTTACGATCATCTGACTCTACTGCTCCGGAGTCTGGAAAAGGATGAGCCTCCACTAAGGACGTCATCTTTTGATAGGAAGATGCTGCGTGATGGAAGAGAGCTGACATGCTGTTGGCAGCCTCAGCCAGCCGTCTATCCGCGTGCTTTCTGTTTGCATGATTGAAGTCAAAGGAGGCAGGAGAAGGCCCCTCAGTCGGGCTCTCCAGAGGTAGGGCCCCTCCATACTGCAAGAGGTGTTTCCTCAGCCCTGTGCTGTTTTCTAGAGAAGGCTTGGTGCGTTTCTTTTTGTCTGATGAGAGGGAGATGATTTCAGAAGGTCTTGGCCGCTGCGGGTCGGCAAGAGACAGAAGCCAGTGTTCCGTGTGATTCTCTCTGGCGCTGCTGGTGCCCCAGGCTGGCAGTTTGACTTGGCCAGGTGCAGCGTCTGCTGAACCATAAGCTGCTTTGCTGAGAGCCTGACCGGGTTTCTCGGCATAGGGCAGGGATCCTACGCACACAAAAAGGAGAGCGAGCGAATTAGCATTTTGATTTTTTTTATTCCATGTGCTTCTGAATGGGAAGCGCCTGGCAGATTTGAGGCTCTAGTCCATAAGTGAGGACTTCAACAATATGACTATAACTGATAAATAGTTCAACAGATGAAATATAGTAGAGCTGCTCATTCTCCTGCAACTCAAACATGGAAGGCCCAGTACAGAGAATGCAGCTGTGTGAGCAAAACACAGGAGATCTGCATTTTTACTTTATTATTGTTGCAAATTAAAAACATGACTTACAAACAAACCCTTTTCTCAAAAGCCTGAATCTCCAGGGAACATCTGAGGAAACAAGGTTCACGTTGCCATTTGGGATGCTTGTTTAAAAGACCGTGACAACAGAACTATTTGGTTTTCCCATCCATGGGATGCCTTATTGACAATGTCATCTGGACTCTTCAGGGGCTTTGGGCTTTGAACGCTACCGACAAGATCTTTATCCACAGTTTTGGGTCTCTGACTTTTGCACTACAGAGTTGTATAGTAGTAGTACCGTAGTCTGGTAGCTAGGCTATTGCTGCTGAGTAACAATTATTTCAAGGCTTTTCTTAAGTTGAGAGGACAAGGGCTGAGGAAGAGAGGAAGTGTCTGGGAATCTAGTGAAAAATGGAAAGGCTTAATGACATTGTTCACGCAAGCTGGACAGTCGCCTAAGGCCTTCGTTTATACCTTTACCTTGATCACTTGGACCTCACAAAGCAAAAGGACCTTCCGTTTAGCCTGGGAAGAGAGAAATTTCCTCTTGCGGTTCATTTCCCTTTTACTTTAGTCCTTCACTGCCTGCCTTTAGTTAGCCAGCACAGTTTTAAAACAGTTCACCCACACACAGTCACTGTCTGGGTGTTCACTGTCTGTGGTTAGCATCGTGTAGGAGGCTGATCCTAACTCCTTATGTGAAAAGAGATTTGACATACACAGATGAACAACGTCCTGGTTTATCTTCTATAACCGACTCAACTGCTGACCTTGCTACTTCTCCCCCTTTTGCTCCCACCAGCTGCTGTCATGGGAAAGATTCCCTGATATTTGGGCTGGCCACACGTAAAGTCAAAAGAATGTCCATGAAGAAAGGGGTGGAAGAAGTCCAAGCTAAAGAAAGCAATAGGCAAGGGTGTGTTGGAGATGTTTCAATATGAAGCTGTGAACTCTGAACAGGTGTTTTGGACTTGGTTTTATAAGTATACTCTTCTACCAGTTTATCATGCCTTCTTAGTCATGGATTGTAACAAGAAATAGTTCATTTTTTTTCTCTACTCAATCTGTTCAGGACCTTGAGGTTCATTCTCCTATACCAGCATATTTCTGTCTAGCTCTTGCAATCTAAGAAATACAACTGCAACATAATCAGCTCCTTCCCAATGGAACAGATGTATATCTTTTATTTCTGTTCCATCAATGAGGTACTAAAAAAAAAATTTGTCTAGGACAGCTTGCTGCAGGCACACATGACAGCACAGAGCATGTTGAAATAAATTAGAAACCTGGAGTCTACAGGTGAGGGGAAGGAGACTAAAAGGGAAAGGTCACATACAAATAGAAGAAACCCCATATGCGGAAGCAAGTCAAACTTCAATTGCTGAACGATGGCTAGCAGGATTCACGGCACCAGCTAACTGCCTGCTTTTGGCAGGTGCTCTTAATTCTCTCAAATGCTGACAAATCAAATATTGCAATTTACATTCCCATCCCACAAACATGTTGAAATGTTTCCTTCTTGAGCCCTTACGTGATTACTGCTACCGCTTGCTGAAAAGACTACAGCTGAAGAGGGCTGCTCGGGCAAGAATTTGTAGTAATGTGTTTAGCCTCCCCTGATACCAAAGGCAAATATGCCCCAGCCCCGCTTTGAATGTTAACAGACTTACCGGCCACTGAGCTGGAAGTTGATCTAATGACAAAGCAGAGGAGCCAGAACACTTTGGTTGTCATTTTGAAGTCAGGTTTTTCCAGACTCAAAATGAACTGGAGTCTTTTATGCCCTTCCCCCGATTCATGCTAATGAGAGGCAGCCTTAGGGGAAACAGGAATCACTCACTGGACAACCCCCTGGAGCAAGACCAAGCTGCTGCCGTCCCGCTAGCCTCCCACTACCCCTGCCTAGGAGGAATGCGCACGGACACCCCCCTTCCCGTATCTACACAAGTCTGTACTGCCCGCAGTCACCTGCGTTCCCGCGAATAACACACAGATACGTGTTTTTAGCAACAGATTTTTATTTTAGGGGAGGGTCTTGCTTCCTATGGTGTTTTTTAGAGACAATCATACAGAACAAATACAGTTCTACTGGATATGGAGAACTACATTATAAAGGGCAATTGACAGATGCTGGAACATGCATCACCTCTGTGATTCAGCGTCTGTAAAGGAGGTGCATTACGATGAAACGTATTTAGGTATTTCTGGCCACCTCCAGTTACACAGCTGGTAATCTCTTTTAGTTTAAGGAACCCTTTCCAGTGATTCTTTTCAGACTGAAAAATGTCATAGTTACTGTCTAGTCCAAGGGACAGCTCTGCTGACCCCAGATAAAGCTTTATTTTTAAATCTGTATTTGCTAACATGAAGAACTCTGCAAATTTTCACACACCAAGCCAACTCTGATTTGGATTACTGAGTTAAGTAGGCTTATTCCTGTGTTCCCAAGTGAAATGGGTGACCTTATTGCCAGACAAGATTTCCATTGTGACAGTTTATCTCGCTAGCTGCTACTGGATGTCGTGCAAGTTAGTGAACTGGTTCATGCTTTTAAGGTGCAACTAACAACTTAAAACCCCTATAAAGGCACTATATCCCAGCTCCTAACACTCACCCCCCAACAAAAAATCTGCCCATCAGTAACGCCTGTGTCGTGGTCCAGCCATTGCCTAGTTTAAACAGTTTGTTCTGTACTGCCTTAATTAAGCAGTTTAATAAAATTCTTAAAAGTACCGGGCTTTATCTCAAGCAGCTGTGGGTGAAGATACAGAAAATTAGCCAGAATAGTGTGCAAAATAAATGAAATTTTAACACATCTGTTAGTGTGTTAAGTTTCTACTGCAGCATTTATTAATCCTTATTTTCCTTTGTTATTTTAAACATTTTCATTCCAAAAGTATCCAAGATAGCTATTATGGAAATAGGAATTTAAACTAAGGATGAGGCAGAGGTGAGCTCGTATGTTTTTTATGTACCTCACCTCCCGCTCAACCAGTGCGCGTACCCGCAGCAAGCGAGGGAGGTCACGCGCGCAACGCGCTCGTGCTGTTGAGGATGGACGGATGCACGCGTGAGCGTCCTGCAGACCTTCTGTGCTCCAGGGAGTCTTCTGTTTAAGTTAGCTGGTAGCGTAACTCAACCTATATTAACGTACGACTACGTCTGTATTAGTGAGTTTCTCCAGACTCTTTACTTGGACAGGATCTTGATTAAAAGGACAGTAGGAGCGTTTGGAGTATGTCTACCGTTCGAGAAGCGACACGTACGCCAGCAGCAGCGGAGAGGGCAAAAGCTTTCAGAGCGGGACTCCCTGGTCTGAGGAAAACGGGACCGACAGCGCTACGGCCACGTCCTAGTCCCAGAGGCTGCAGACAGCTGCGCGGGCAGCAGCAGGAGTTTTACAGGCTCAGGTCCCCTTGCGTGTTTACCACAACGGTTCTGGAGGACCCACGGTGCGACCCAGAGACGCGACCCCGGCCGGGAGGCGGCGACGGCCCCCGCGCCCCGGCCAGCCCGCCCTCGGGTCCGCCCGGGATCAAGCCCGCAGCGCCTAGAGGAGAACCGCCCGCCCGCGAACCGCCTGCGGCTCG